GGAGGGGGAGCTGGAAGCAGCAGCTGGCTTGTCCCTGGTGAAGGAACTCACTGGCTCACTTTCTACTCCCATGGTTCTGAAGCTCAGACTCCTTCCTTCACTCTTTCAGTTCCCAAACCCTATCCTCTCTGCAGGTTCACCCCTACCCTTGGGATCTCCCTCCTGAGCTAGGCCTGAGAGAGCTGTGAGCTACAGGTGGGGTGGCCTCGGGTGTGGGCGGCAGCTGCTGTGAAGGTAAATGCTGCCCGCCCAGTGCAGGAGAAGTCATTCACACCAAACAACAGGCTGGGCACATTCCCCGGCAGCTCCCCTGGGTGGTGGCAGCTCCCTCCCTGTCAGTCCCTCCCTCTCTACACTGAAACCTTAATGAATGAGACCGGGAAGAGCAGGCCCTGCATGAAAGATGTTGGATGTGGAAGGAGCCCCAGACCAAGAGACAAGGAGCCCTGAGCTCAGGTTCAACCTCTGACCTTGGCCGCTTTGGGCAGGTGGGGAAGCACTGCTCCCGACATGCCCTGCAGCTAGAACTGATGGCTGGGGACTTAGGAACTTTCATGGAGATTCTGGCAGCTATGTCTTTTGGGAATCAATAATCCAGGCTCCTTCAGAGCAATCCCGTACTAGAGGAAACCAAGTGCTCCTGGGCAGATCTGCTTCAAGAACGAGAGTGGATGGCAGGGCATGCCAGGTTTGCCAGGGCCCAGTGCCTGGCATAGAGTTGGTGCTTGCTGTGTATTTGTCAGAGTGAAACCATACAACGTGTTCTGCCAGGATAGGTCCTTGAACCTGGTGTGAGTCAGCACAGACCAAACAGAGCTGTGGGGAGGGTGGCCATGGGCAGAAGCAGGACCATTTTGTTGACTCAGCAGAGGGACCTAAGTTCCCCATCTGTATGCACCTGGGTGCACCACAACTTTGCCAGGGTTCTGCTTTCATATTCAGCCGGGAGTACTCACCCTTCACCACGATAGGCCCAGCCTGTGCAGCAGAGGTGGAACTAAAAGATGAAGCCAGTGTGGTCCTTGGCCTAAAGAATCTTCGCCAGTGACAATATAGATGGTAACACTACAAGGTAACATCCTAACAGGGAAGGTCTAGCACCTCTGGGCTATATATTTGGTAGTCTAAGATGGGCTAGTTTTCAAACTTTCCTTTGTTAGAGTAGATGTCTCTCCTTCTCCAAATGAAACTTATCTGAAGATATTTAAAGTCAATATAATGGGACCAGCAGGTGGTGTAATGGTTACATCACTGGACTCCCACATAGTCGACCACTGTTCGAGTCCTGGACCCAGCAGCTTAAAACTCACACCAGATGCATGTGCATGCATGCATGCCCAAGATCCCAGGAGGAGAATGGAGGACGAGGGATTGCAGCGTGGCAGCTCCCTCCCTGTCAGTCCCTCCCTCTCTACACTGAAACCTTAATGAATGAGACCGGGAAGAGCAGGCCCTGCATGAAAGATGTTGGATGTGGAAGGAGCCCCAGACCAAGAGACAAGGAGCCCTGAGCTCAGGTTCAACCTCTGACCTTGGCCGCTTTGGGCAGGTGGGGAAGCACTGCTCCCGACATGCCCTGCAGCTAGAACTGATGGCTGGGGACTTAGGAACTTTCATGGAGATTCTGGCAGCTATGTCTTTTGGGAATCAATAATCCAGGCTCCTTCAGAGCAATCCCGTACTAGAGGAAACCAAGTGCTCCTGGGCAGATCTGCTTCAAGAACGAGAGTGGATGGCAGGGCATGCCAGGTTTGCCAGGGCCCAGTGCCTGGCATAGAGTTGGTGCTTGCTGTGTATTTGTCAGAGTGAAACCATACAACGTGTTCTGCCAGGATAGGTCCTTGAACCTGGTGTGAGTCAGCACAGACCAAACAGAGCTGTGGGGAGGGTGGCCATGGGCAGAAGCAGGACCATTTTGTTGACTCAGCAGAGGGACCTAAGTTCCCCATCTGTATGCACCTGGGTGCACCACAACTTTGCCAGGGTTCTGCTTTCATATTCAGCCGGGAGTACTCACCCTTCACCACGATAGGCCCAGCCTGTGCAGCAGAGGTGGAACTAAAAGATGAAGCCAGTGTGGTCCTTGGCCTAAAGAATCTTCGCCAGTGACAATATAGATGGTAACACTACAAGGTAACATCCTAACAGGGAAGGTCTAGCACCTCTGGGCTATATATTTGGTAGTCTAAGATGGGCTAGTTTTCAAACTTTCCTTTGTTAGAGTAGATGTCTCTCCTTCTCCAAATGAAACTTATCTGAAGATATTTAAAGTCAATATAATGGGACCAGCAGGTGGTGTAATGGTTACATCACTGGACTCCCACATAGTCGACCACTGTTCGAGTCCTGGACCCAGCAGCTTAAAACTCACACCAGATGCATGTGCATGCATGCATGCCCAAGATCCCAGGAGGAGAATGGAGGACGAGGGATTGCAGCATGGCCATCCCCCCACAGGGTGATTTCTTACTTTCTGTCTCTCTGTCTCCCTGGAGAGGGCATACACCCTATAGCAAAAATCTCTCTAAAATTAATTAATTAATTAATTAATACTTTGATTGGTAAGAACAGTTTACGGATACTGAGGGCTAACTCTGGTCTGGTATCATGCCTTATTTCCTTTTATCTTCATCATGGCCCTCTGACGCAGGTAGTTATTATGATGTCCCTTTTCAAATGAGGACACTCAGGTTGGGAAAGTTTCAGCAATTTAGGCTGGCTCTGGGTGCATTGGTAATGTGCTGCTTAAGAAAAGCCAGATCCCGTATGGTGACTGTGGTTCAAATCCCTGGCGTGAAACATGTGAGGCATATACATGCTAATGCCCAGGATCCAATATGCTGGGATCAGAGGAAGGATAACGTGGCATGACCAGACCCTGTGGAGGGTGCTCCCCTCTCCCCCTTCCCTTTTCCCTCTCTATCACTCTCCTGTGCATATACACACAGTCTATTATGAATAAAGAAAAAAGTTGAAACATTTTAAGAAAGAGAAAAGCCAGATCTCACATGGTAACTGTGGTTGGACTCTCCAGCCTTCTCAGCCTGAAGACATGCCAGGTGTGGCCAGGAATGCCCAAATGCAGGCTGCAGGGCTATGGCAGGGAGATCACAGCATGACCTGACCCTGTGGGGATGCCCATCTCTCTTTCTCACTCTCGTGTGTGTGCATTCTATCATGGATAAACAGAAGAATCTTTTTTTCTCCTTAAATTTTGCTATAGGGCATGTACACTTGTCAGAGAGACATAGAGATAGGGAAAGTGAGAAATCCCTCCCAGGGGGAATGGCCATACTGCATTTCTTCCTGGGATTTTGTACACACAGCTGGTGCATTTTTCAAACCACCAGGTCTCGGACTTGAATCATGAAGTTGGTCACGTGGGATCCAGCCATTCTATCACCATGCTATTGGCTGGTCCCCCAAACAGAAAAATCTTTTAAAAAAAGGAAATAAAGTTTAAGCAATTTGACCAAGGTCGTTTAGCTAGCTACTAAGTGGCTAAGAGGGAATCTGAACCTAGGGTGGGCAACTCTCACGTGCAATCTGGTTGGAGGTAGTGAGCATGGGGCTGCCTGTGCTCCCTTCTCACCTGGCCCCCATCTTCCAGAAGGCCCCGAGGAAGGACCTTAGCCCCTGGGGACTTGCAAAGTCCAGCATGAAGACAAAGGCACTGTTGGGTCCTGCCACCAGGGACAAGTGCAGCTCAGGGCAACCAGTCCCCGCACTCAGAGAAGGGGGAGATCAGTGTGGGCTGGGGCCATCTGGGAAACACCCGACAGAGGATGCAGTCAGAGGCAGAGTAGGACTTGGCCTCAGACCTCCTAGCCCTCTTGGCTCCCTCACCTGCAGGGGAGGACAGCCAATTGGACTTCCTTTTTAAGGGAAGGGAAGGACTGTGCAGGGCCTTGAGTGACCCAGCGGCTGCATGAAGTCACCACTCTCGGGCTTTGGGGTTGGCTGGCAGGAGGGCTCTGCCCACAGGCAATGTCCTAACAGGAGAGTTAATGAGCGGATAATAATGCCTTTGGTTTAGACCACTGGGTTAAACTCAGTCTCTGGTTTGACATGAAGAGATTAAGTGATTCTAACCAAACCTACTTTCAAGTGACTCCAGGGAGTGACAGCTGTGCCAGTAAGAGGGGACTACGAGGCTGCTGGGCAGCTTAAGCCTGGCATCAAAACCCAAACCTGCCAAGAGGGTAAGAGGCGAGCAGCTGTTCAAAGGGGTTCAGCCTGCATTTACTCTGATTCAGGGGAACTAGAGCGTGTCGGATCCCTCCCCTCCAGTTCAGAGATGTCGACTGCAAAGAG